CAGTTCCCGCTCATTGGCTGAGCGCGGTGCGGGCGTAACACCGAGGGTTGCGAACCCATTACTGGTCAGTAAAAAAAGACAAAAAGGAAAAAAAAAAAAAAGAAAAGGCTCTCCCTTGGCCAGAGTGACACTGTCTGTTGGACCCACGGCTGCCCAGAGGGACTCCCTTTCCCAGTAGCCTTGCAGCTGGGTCTCTGCGTGTCCTAAGTTCCTGCTAAGGAGTTCAGGAGGAGCTGGCGTGCACTAATGCTGGATCCAGGTCCTGCAACACCAGCATGTGTCCCCATGTCCTTCTCCCTCTCTACAAACTCGCAAAGTGCCTGTGACCTGGCTTCCCACACAGACTGCAACCTAAGGTGGGAGCGACGGGGTCCGAGGGGACTGTGGAGTTGAGCATCCGCTCTGGTTGGAGCTCTTAAGTGAAGGAGAAATAAGTGTCCACAGTCTTTAAGCCGCTGCAGTTTTGGGCCCCGGTGTTATAGTGGCTTGGCTTTTGCTAAATGGAAAAAAGCAGGTTTCAAAACAGTATACAGTATGGTTTCATTTTTTGCAAAAAATGTACATATCCGTGTGAAGGTGGGGATTCTGGGCATTACTTTCTGTTCTGGCTCATCCACATTACTGAATCTTCTACAAAAGGAACATATGGATCCCTTTGGTAATGAAGAAAGCAAGCCCATGGTTGTGACACGGGCCAGGAATGACATGAGGAACACATGAGGTGGCATCCACGGGGCGCTGACCCACGCCCGCTGCCCTGGGCTGGCTCGCAGCTCCTGGCCTCTCCCTTTCCTCCCCCTGCCTCTGCTCCTCTGGCCCTTGGGGACAGTTCCCTGTCTCTCTCGTGCCTGGGAGAGGCATGACACACATGAAGCCTGCGGCCGGCAGCACCTGCCTGTTCCCCAAGCTCCCAGCCACGGCTCACGCTGCCCCCGAGGACCGCTGCCCCGAGGACCGAGGCTCTCCAGCTGCAACTTCAAACTCCGCGAGCACGAGACGGGCCGCAGCTGCTCCCCAGCAACTTGTCCTCGAGCTGCCGAGACAGTGCTTGCCTAGGACGCGCCCGGGAACTTTCAGGCTTAGCTCATCAAGTACTAATAATAGGAAGCAGTCAGCCCCACAATTTAAAATGCAACGTGAAAGTGGGTTTCTGAGACTCCTTTCCCTTAATTTAAGGACCTGGGGTGGGCACGAGACTGCGGGAGGGATGGCAGAGCCTAGGGAAAGGAGCCCGTCTGTCCCGGCGAGAGAAGCCTAATGATTCACCAAGCAGACGGATGGACGAGCAGATGCAAGGATGGAAGGACAGGCTGGCAGGCTGGTCTACACTTGTCATCTCCGAAGAGCATTATCGTGCGTCCTGGGTGAGCTCCGTGTGAGGACCAGCCACGCCAGCCGCGCCAGCGAGCGAGCAGGTGGAAGGGAACCGGCCCATCCTTTCCTGCCACGCACAGAGCAGGACAAATCCTAAGATCACCGCGGGCACGCCGGTGGAGGTGCGGGGCTGGGGCACACCCTAGAAGAGCGAGTTGTCCCCATGGGTCATCTGTCCCACGGACCCGATGGCCGAAGTGGCCGCTATCAGGTTTGCAGGGATTCCAGGTCTGTGAGAACTGTGATGGCTGTAGCTGTCATCCCTTCTCCCCCAGACTGGGGTGACCTTAACAGGCTCTCGATTTAGCATCAGGACCACACTCTGACACCCTAAATGCAATGGCGACTTTGCGCGTTCACACTGAAAGATCTGGAAGACTGTCATTTCATTCTGTCAGTGGCGTGAAGTGTAAAAACACCATCGATACCAAAAGGCCAGTTCCCAATTTAGTTCAGAAAAAAACTCTGGACAACCTTTCGGAGACGTCCTCGTTCCATTCTGTCAGTTCTTAGCGGTAACCTGGCCAGCAGCAGGGATGGGGTGAAGGCGTCCCTGCCTACCGCAGCCAGGACCAGCGTCTGCAGGACAGCAGTGTCCACATTCTGGCCGGGAGTCCGTCGGTCTTCAGCACATCGGGGCTTGCCCTCTGCCCTGGGGTGGGGGGCAGCCTTGTTGCTGGGTGGCCACAGAGCCCCTGCTGGTTGCTGCGTGGGCCCCTTCACTTGGTCTCTCATCTACAAAATGGGGAAAACGCCACACACCCACCTGGGACTAAATTAGATAACACATGTAAAGCAACTGGCACAGGAGAGCTGCGGGCTGTAGGGTCATAAGTCACATAAAATACCCTGCAGGTCTGGCCTACAGACCACCCTTGGACAGTCTAAATCGTGTTCTGACCTACCCTAACCACATAGTGGCCATTGATGGTCACATTCCTTTGGTGACAGGCAGCAAAGGATGGTTTGGGGGCCTGGTGACTGTCCTCACAGCAGCAGCAGCAGGTCTCCCAGCGCCCCTCATAACCCACCATCCTGGAGCTGATCCCAATCCACCTTGAGCCTCTGTTTGTGCCAACATTAGGTCCACAGCCCAGCCTCCGCAGGGACCACCTCCCGGCCGATACCGTTTCATCTCTGAGCCTCCGTCCCCTGCCCATGACCGGATCACCAGCCTTGCATCCTACAGAAAAGGGAATGGGCTGTGCAGAGGGCGTGACTCATCTAAGCTCCTACACCTGGCCGCAGAAGGCTGGGTCCAGGCTCTGGCCTTGTGTGGCCACCACCTGTCACTTGACCACCTTCTTCACGCTTTTTGCTACAGCCACACTCTGCCTGTGCTATTATTTATCTAATGCTTTTCTTTAATGGTTCCACTTTTTCACCTAAATAAATTTATTTTAAATGGAAACTTTATATCACTCCTGGGAAACAGGCATCATTTGCCATAAATAGAAGGTATCTCTAAAGATAACACAGAGAAAATCAAAACGATGCCATTAAATTCGAAGTAGAAACTATTGCCTGCCCAAGGCTCTGAACTCGGGGCCGGCTCTCTCTTCTTTTGAAAATGGGAGTTAGAGAGACCTTCGGTGCCTACGGGGAGGTTCTCGGACTTGCTGCAATCAGGAGGGTCAAACAGGTACAGATCCAAATGGCTTTCTCACAATGTGATTTACAGCGACCGTGATTTCACCAGTCCTCCGGTGGGTGTCACGTTTGGACATCTCGGATGCGTGCTGTCGGCAGCTGACGGTCACGATGCACTTGCTACCGTGTGCACATGCTCCACCTGGTCACAGCTGGTCACATCGTCATCACTTCATGTGAGAGATGAATACTGTGTGGGGTCAGCTTACTTGACATTTAAATATCTTTGAAAAGATGGGCAGCATAAGACAAAATGTTATTACATACCTAATGTCTACTACTCCTTATTTCTTGCAAAGCAACAAAGTGTCTTTTAAGACCAAAGAAAGGAGGACCTGGCAAGTCAGTGAAGCCGTGTGATTGTCTGTTACTGGGGGCCGTGTAAAGGGATCACCTGTCACAGGCTAACAATGACACTTAAGGCAGGAGAAATCGCCCCCTTTGCAATAGATGGATGACATTTCAAAGCAACGAAGGCTGGTGTGACGAGTTCACGGGTCAGGATTATCATTCAGGCCTGGACTTAACTGGCAGTGTGTTTTTCTTTCTTAGTGGTTCATAAGATAATGGTGCAGGTTACAAGCATTGGGGTCTTAAAGTTGATGAACTAAGGCATTTAATCTAAAATCACTTCTGCATGGAAACGTCCTGCACTCCCCCACGCTGCCTCTCACCACACTCTGCCAACCAGGGCACTGAGAGCAAGGCCATCTCTCCTAGAGCAGAGGTCCTCAGATGTCAGGGCCACCTGGGGGCTGGTAAAGAGTAAGTTGCTGGACCCAGCCCTGACTAGCCAAGGTTGGGTATGTCTAACACGCTCCCACAATGGTGATGCTGCTGGTCTAAGGACCACATGTGGAACAGCACTGTCCTATGGTAAGATGTCAGGGCCACCTGGGGGCTGGTAAAGAGTAAGTTGCTGGACCCAGCCCTGACTAGCCGAGGTTGGGTATGTCTAACACGCTCCCACAATGGTGATGCTGCTGGTCTAAGGACCACATGTGGAACAGCACTGTCCTATGGTACCCTCGCCACTAAATCCCCTCCATTCTCTGGTTCCTCTCAGCCTGGTGGGGGAAGGTGGGGAGGGGCTGGCTGGGAAAGCCCTGGGCAATGCCCCCAGCCTTCTCAAGCCTGTCACCAGGTCCATGATCTTCACAGAAATAGGTTAGGGCTTTAAAAGTTGGTGTTGAGGCACGGAACGAGCTCAGCAGATCGGGATGGAATCGGTTCATAGTGATATTTAGGATGAAACCCGGGACAAGCAGGCCTGACATGCCCCTGGCTCTGCTCACACTCCGGCTGGTTAGGCTGGCAGAAGACTTTCTCCTGGGTGTGCGTGTGCTATTGGCTCGCTAAAAGGTACCATCCCTGCACGCTGGGGCTCCTCGAAAGGAACAACCCATTTCTCAAGCCACCAAAACATCTTTGAAATGGATATTTGCTAGCACTGCCCTCTCCCCTGAAAGTGAGAGACAGGGAAGAGTGTTCTAAAAAAACACTATGTTTTAAGAGCAAACATTCTTAAGTTTTTTCTTCAAAAGGCCCAGATCCACTCACATGTTCACTAAACTGAACGGAAAAGGAGCTGTAAGAAATAAGGGGCAAAGCTTTGTCCTGGATACAAAAGATTTATTGCTTAAAAAATAAGTTACAGAAAAACAGCTGCATGACTATTGAACACAGGGCTCATTCCAGTGACAGACAGCTCACGGAAATGACTTCACACACAGACCCCGGAGGGTCAACTCAGCAGTACTGCCAGCGTACATGGAAGAAGAGCTTGCTGCACAATTTCTTTACATTAGATTCTAAAAAGGTCATCTTTGCCTTCAATGCACTGGCTAATGTGTGTAATCAGTCCCCTCAGCCACAGAGGACATGCTGCTTTTTCACAAAAGGGAAAGCGTGGCTGTACTGCTATTTGGGCAACGAAGAAAGGTCTGGGCCATCAATATTCCCTCGGGCTCAATGTGTGTAATCAGTCCCCTCAGCCACAGAGGACATGCTGCTTTTTCACAAAAGGGAAAGCATGGCTGTACTGATATTTGGGCAACGAAGAAAGGTCTGGGCCATCAATATTCCTTCGGGCTTGTCTGGGAAGGTGCTGGGTGGGGGTCCGCAGGCTGGCCTCGGGCCGGGGTGGGGTTACTGCCGGCAGGTGTCGTGGAAGGCTTCGAGGGTTCGGAAATCCCTCCACGTGGGGGGAAGGCCATCTTGCAGAAACTTCCCGCAGCGCTGGCACGGGGCCTGGAACAGCTTTATGTAACTTCTTAACCAGGTCTAAAAAGAGAAGCGAGGAGAGAAATGAAAGACTGGGATCCGGGCGCTTCCAAAGTCATCCTTCCTGTCAAGCCTAACGATCCCAAGGACAGAGAACCTAGTTGGCTTTGACCCCAAAAGATGCCTTGTGATTTCACAGCGAGAAGCAGGCAGAACCCACAAGGTCATCTCACTGCTGATTTCCAATTCTGATGCTCCCCCGCCCCTCCCAACCAAGGGAGTTTTTAAAATAGAAATTCCTACCCCCAAGAGCAGGAAGGGCTCCTTGAGGAGTCCCTGTGAACCCCACCAGCTGGGGCCCTGGGACGAGCAGAAACACATCTCACTTCTGAGCCCTGTGTCTCCTGTGTATTAGACGATCCTCTTTCCCCCGCTCGCTACCAAGAAGTGGTCGTGGGCACATGCTAAGGGAGACTTGGAATAACAGATGATGACTTCAGAATCCTCCACTGAGGTCAACATGCCTTGCAGCTAATCTGATTTCAGAGGTCATCACTCACTGTCACAATGTGGCCTAACGTATCTGGGGGGTGGGCGGGGATAGCCCTGGTGCCACCAAATAACATAATAAGCAGCAAATACATGCTGGAGTAGTTCAGAGTGCAGAGCTCTCTCAGGAATCATACATAAGGATGAGACTCTCATAACTCAATTCTCACACTCACAGCGACGGCGGGCAAGTTGTCGCTGTGAAAGGGACATGGGAATCTCGTCATTTAATGTCCTCCTGCATATTATGCCACTAGAGAAAACTGCCATTTGAAGAGGTCGGCCAAGTTTATTGATACGAATCCTGCTTCACGGGGCAGAGCCTGGCCCACTGACAGCCACCCCCCTTCTGAAGGTGAGGCATTTGGGGTTTGGCAATTAACGTGAGGTCAATGGGCCATTGAGTGAAACCACCCTCTGGGGCTGAGCAGTTACCGAAGGCAGCTGGGCGTTACAACATGTTAGGGTGAAAAGCTAGTCCTTATACGAAGAGTCTTCAAAAAGTTCACAGAAATATGTGCGTTGTCTTTTAATTCCATTTTTCCATGGACTTTCTGAAGTGCCCTCATATCTATCCAGAAATGAAGATCTCGCTGAAGACTGTGGACCACGAGAGAACCACCCCGTGGACAGCGCTGCTGGGCCCCCAGCTTTGCTCTGCTCAGCCTCTCGAGGCTGCGGCACCAGTCAACGAGCCAGGCTGCATGTTCTGAGAGACGCACGCACGACGGGCTCTCTCAGAGGCTTAATCGCTGATGCCCCCGCGACAGAATGAGCTGGATGAGCTCAAGTCCACCCCCACCAGCTGTCAACATGGGCTGGACTTGCTAACAGGTAAGTCTTTCGCGTAGGTTCTCTAACTGGCAGCCTTTCCAGCATGAAGAACAAAGGGAGTTCTGGCAGCAGTGAAAGATGGAGCTGCAGGCTAATGTGAGAGCAGGAAGCCGTGTCTGCCTGATGTTAAAACAGCTGGATGGTCTGTCAGGGACATGGGGGGCATGTTTTAGCCTTGTCACATGACAGAGGCTTATAAAGTAGCTCTGGGGGTGGGGGAGAGGTCCCGACTTGTAGTGTTTGCCCATTTCTGTGGTGTAAATACTCCTGCCGGTTTGATTTCAAGCTACCAGTGCTTGAACAACCAGCTTACAAAATTCTGCACATTTAGCAAGAGCTGGCAGAGCTGGCTCCAGCTCTCCACCGGAATGGCTGCTCTGTGGCTGCTCCCATCTTGAGCTCCAGCTCTGAAAATCTAAGGATTAAATGTCTTGGGGGACTCCAACATTTGTCTTGTTCACTGCTATGTGCTCAGCACCAAGCATCGGGTCCGGCACCAATAAAACATCTATTGGCTAAATCAATGTTGCAAACTTTTGGAAGGTCACTTCTGAAACCACCATTTGTTCAGCAATGAGAAAACACCAGTGAATTAAATTGAGAGGGGTTTCTCCCAAATCCCTTCCCAGCTTAACAGAAGTATCGGCTTTACACTGGGAGCCCTGTCTCCCACTGGGAAGCCCTCGAAGTCTGAAGACACAACAGCTTCTTTTCAAGCTGCCTGTTCTCACTTGAAAGGAGCCAGGGTTTCAACAGACCTGACTCTTCAAGCCACTTACCATGAAGGATCTGACCACGACGTCTGGCATCTGGGGCAGCTGATAGTGGAGCAGGGCAGTGGTGGCATGGTCTGTCACCTGAGAAGGAAGGACAATGACTGGAGTTGGCAGCTACTCCAAACCAGCACAGAGGAGCCAAGTAGGCCAAATGCACTCTTGGCATGTATACTTGGAGGAAAGGACATCTAAAATAAAACCTCAAGTAGGAAAAGTGGGGGTGAAAAGGGGAGAGGAGGTATACTGCAGGCAGAAAGGACACAGGCCTGAAAGCCAGTGGAGTGTGGAACATTCCAGCACCTGAAAACCCGGACAGGCTGGGCACCACGAGAGGGCGTGGCAGAGGCTGGGGAGGGAAGAGGGGTTTACAGCCTCTGCTGCGTGAACGTGAAGTGGTATTTCCAATCGTCCATGCCCCACTTCCTCTTTGCACCAGAACAATTTTCCTGACACTGTACTCGGTCTCTTTCTGTCTCCTTTAATTCTCATTTTGTCTCATAATTTGTAGCTATGTGTTTTTGGATCAGGAATCCGGTAATTTCTGAGGATCTTTCCCTTGAGCCTCACGGTTGCCATGTCACCTTTCTGAGGAGCCCTGCCACTTACATGTGCCTGTCTCACCAGCTCTATGAAGGGGGTGGGCTGTTTTCAGCGCCCTGGTGGGCCACGCCTATTGTCTCCTGACTCTGCAGTAGAGGTTTATCAGCAAGGCCAAGGGTGAGACTGCATGAAGTCCACTGGAGGCATCAGGTGACCAGATAGACAGAGTACTGGGTGCAAGCCCTGGTACTGTCCCCGACCTTGATCCAGCTACTTATCCTCTCTGCATTTCAATGTCCCTTCTGAAAAAAAAGGGGCCAGTCTAAGATTCCTTGTAGTTTGGAAACTTGATGACATCATGAATTGCTAATGCCTGACATCAAAAAGCAAATGAGTACATTATACCTAATTTGATAGTTGGGTTTAAACGAATGGTCTATTTGATAGTCTTCATTAGGAACTCTTAGCATTATAAATGCTGTGCTTAAAAAACAAAACAAGGGGCTGGCTGGTTAGCTCAGTTGGTTATAACGCGGCCTTGTAACACTAAGGTCATGGGTTTGGTTCGTGCACTGGCCAGCTGCCAAAAAAAAAAAAGTTAAGTTGGTTATAACGCGGCCTTGTAACACTAAGGTCATGGGTTTGGTTCGTGCACTGGCCAGCCGCCAAAAAAAAAAGTTTAAAAAAAAAATTGGGAACAAGAATAAACATAGGCCTATCTTGTGTAGACCTGTTAGTTTTCTAGCCCCTATCAGAAGACAATGTGGTTGTAGCAGCCACATTAACCTCAGCCACAGTTAAGCCAACCAGTCAGGCGGAAACCAGAGGTGCTGGTCTGGGCCCGATACGGTGAGTTGTAGATGATCCAGAAATCAGTCCAGCTGTGTGTCCACACCTGCGGCCAGGCAAGTGGGGTCCTGGCTCCCTGGCTTAAAGATAGGTGATCTTTGGCCCCTTGCGGAATCTCTCTAAGCCTCAGTTTCCCTCTGGATAAAATGGAGGTTGTAATAATACATACTCCATAAGGCTGGTGAGAGGACAGAACGAGGCCAGGCACGTGAACCTTCCTCCCCAGCATGCCACTGGCCTGCCCACCCTGCTGCCCGCTCTCCTCTTCTGCTCGGCCTGGCCCCTGCACTTGTCCTCTTTCCTACTGGACTTTTGTGGCCTTCCTGGTTGCTGGTGAAACCCACTAGACAATAAGCTCCATGGGGCAGAGATCATGTCCATCTGGTTTGTGCTGCATCCCCAAGGCCTAGAGTATCACCTGGCACTCAGCAGGTACTCAATACATACTTGTTGAAGAAATAAACTTAAAAATGCCCACTCACCCAAGGCTGTGCACCACTGGCTTTTGTGTGAGAACACCAGCAGCTCCCATATCCAACACTGCTGAGAAATTCTTACTCAAGTGACTTTCAAGATAAATGGTACTTATTCCTTCAAGTGCCAAGACTGCTTTTATTTTAAGCATTTTTGACAGACAGCTTTCTAAAATGAGCAATGCTTTTTTTTTTAAAAAAAATAAAAAACAGTAGTAAGGATAACTTTGCAGGATGGCTGGTGGTGGTTGGTGGGGTGAAGCTAACGCTACATAACACAGCAAAACAAACTGGGCCTTAAGGGCCCCTGAACTTGAAAGGCTGGTTCGTGCCCATCCAGGTCTCCTGCTAAGAAAACTCATGGAAGTGCCATTTTATGGGCTGACAAGACATTCCTTGCAATTACATTTGCCATTACAAAAGAAACAAGGTTTTTGGAGAATTCCTTCTCTGGCCCTGCCATTTTCTTTTAAGTGCCTGTAATGAAGCCCCCGTTGTAGTGGCAGAGTAAGCCAGGCTGGCTTTGTTCCTCAGTGCCCTGCTATCCCCTGTTCTGGGCATGACTCCTTTCCTAAGACGGCATGCCCAAAGGCACTAGCCCTGGGAGGCCCCTGGGATGAGATTAGGTACGTCCATTTCAGCAGCTCGAGCTGGCCTGGTGGGGGCCCGGCTCCAGTCAGACTGGCGACCACATCAGAGGCCACAGATCCAAGGCAGGAATGCTTTGTTCGGCTGCACGTTTTTCTGGATTCTTTTCTTTTCACAATTTTTAACACAAATGACTAACATTTAAAATTTGGGAACCTTCACCTGAGACCCCCAGTTTCTCTTGAAGTGTCAGAAGATCCGGGGACAGTCCCACAGGCTGTTGTGAGATTAGATGAGTCTAAGCATGGGAAGTATTCAGCACAAGGCCCAGCTCCTGGTCATCACAGTGACTGTGACCTGGCCCTGCCCCCCACAGCCCCGTATCCAAGCAGCCACCATCAGCGGGAGCTGAGGAGGACAGTGCCTTTGGACAGGGAGCGACTGCACCTCGCCCAAGTGCTCCGGGGTCTTACGCCAGAGCCTACTCCGCTCATCGTGGTACCTGCCGGGCTCCTGGGGCCTTTGGAATCTAGGGCCTCGACACAAATGCCGCCAAGATGCCCGAAACCTGTCCCCATTTCTGCTGTTCCCTTGGTGCCCGGCCTGGCTTTCTGACCTGTGTGTGAGCTCACCTTCCCTGGCCTGACAGACCTGTGCCCATCTCCTGTTCCCTTCCTTAGCTGACCTCTGCACTTGAGCTCTTCTAGCTGAACTTGGGTTCTCCAGGCAACCCCAGGCAAGGCGTCGTGCTAATCACAGGAACACTGAGAGCACTCTTCCAGGCCTGCTCTCCCGTCAGCGTTCTTGATGAATGACCATCCGCCCAGACACCCGAGCCAGAAACTTGGGCTCTCCCCTGCTCTCTCCCCACACCTCTCATACTCAAGGAGCCTCAGAGTTCCAAATTATTTATCGTGAACCTTTCTGCCTCTACCCACCTCTACTGCCACTTCATAGCCTAAGCCGCCGTCTTTTCCTGCTGGGATGATCAGAAGAGACTCAACCAGCTGCCCACTGCACTCGCCCCTCCTCCACGCTGCACTCGGAGGGGACACTCTGCAGCAAAGGGGAGGGCTGGGCTTGGGGTTTGGATCCCGCTCCACCTCTTCCAGTAAGGCAACCTTGGGCAAGTTACTTCATCTCTTTTAGCTGCGGTTTTCCCATCTGGGAAATGGGGACAATAACAAACAGTACCTATCACCTGGGATAATTGGGGGATCAAACGGAATAATGCAGAAGTGCATGCTGTTCAGTAAATACTAGCGATTATTCTTCAACCACAAATCTGTGTTACTCTCTTGCTTAAAACCCTCTTCTTAGAGCGTAGGACAGAACGCAAAACCGTGATCATGGGATGTGAACCATGCAGGGCCCGTTCCTGCCTTCTGTCCTCACCTCTCAGCTCCTCCAGTCTCATCTCCTCCCTCCTTCCTCGCAGCCCTTCCTCTGCTCTGGCCTCTCCTTCCCCGCCCCAATAAGAATTCCTCGTCTGGGCCCGGGAGAAAGCCTCCCAGACTTCCCTGATGGGCTACACCTCCTTGCTCAGTTCTTTTCTTTCATAGCACTCTGCACTTCTGAACTGATATAATTATTTTTGCCATTTCTGTTTAGTGTCAGTTTCCCTGACTTGACTGTGAACTCTAGAGGATGGAGAACACATCCGCTAGTGCCTGACACAGAGGTTCTCCACGCAACGTGCTGATGGAGTGAATGGTCCACTCTGTCCCTGAGACCTCCAGGGAGAGGGGCTCTGATGAGGTAGGTGGAGAAAGGGCCTGAAAGGGGTAGGGACAGGGGGACAGGAGCTGAAGACTCTGGGCCTTGGAGTGCCACTGACGTGCTGGGGTATCTTGGACTTTCCCTCTGTGGTGGAAGTTACCAGTAGTCACCCTGTCCAGTTCCTCTCTCCTTCCTGGGCACCTGGGAAGACTTCCTGGCTTCCCTTGTATTAGGCGGGCCCGCATGGATCGTTCCAGCCAGTGCATCAGGAAGCGGAAGTGCTGTGTGTTACTTCCATATGGAGGCCTGTGAAGAGCACAAGTGTGGACTCTCCACACTCACTCTTCCCCAGCGACCTTGGAAGCCACATACTAAGATGGTGGAGTCACCAGATGGGGGAATCCCTGGTGAGTTGGGGTCCCTGAGAGATGACCTGGAAGTACAGCCCTGTGACAACTCAGCATGGATGTGCAGTGTGAGCAAGAAACAAGTGTTTGTTGTGTTGCATCACAGGGGCTGTGAGCTTTGTGAGCGCAGCATTCACCCTCCTCTCCAGACTAACATGCGCCCCCACGGACCTTCACTTCCCATTGGAAACGAGCTCAGTGTTTGCGGGTCTATGACTCCTGTTTGTCGTGGTGCACACAAGTTCGAGCTTGGCCAAGAGAATTTCCTCTCCAGAAACGATGCTCCTCACCGTGTGCTTCATGGACCCGCAGCACTGGCAGCACCTGAGAATTTGTTAGGAATCTGTGTTCGTGGGTCCCACTCCAGACTTAGAATCAGAATCTCCCGGTTAGGGCCCAAAAGTAAGCCGGCCTCTCCAAGCTATTCTTAGGGCTGCTCAAAGGCATAAGCAGCAAATGCTAACGCGCACGCACATCACCTGGGAATCCTGCTAACAAGCAGATT